GTTATATTAAAACTGCTGTTGCATTAGGTCAAATTCCCAATAAGTCAATTGCTTTAACATAGACTACGTTTTTAGTTTGGACTGTACTATTTGACTTAATGGGATTTTTGATCTACAGACACTGCAAACATTGTAGTTTTTGACCTAGCGGCACAGGTATAAATTATTTGACCTTCCGGCACTGTTGACTTTCTGCAACGCGTCCGACAGTATGGCTGTGCGAATCCAGGGATTTTGGGTCAAATCAGAATCGAAATCATAGCTGTATAGATTTTATTGAATCCAGGTCAAAATCTAGTTTTTTAATTATTCCCGGGTCAAATCCGAGTCTCAAATTTACAGCTGTTATCAAATCAGATTTTTTAAATTAATTCAAAGCAGAATCGAAATTTGAAATTTACAGCTGTTATTGAATCCATTTTTTAAATCAGTATCAAGTCAAATCTAGGTCCACCTAAAATTTTTTGTGATGGGTTACCAATTTGTGCAGTCTAAAACATAGGCCTATTCTCAATGTTATTTCCCTGCATAAGCCTAAATCCATATGACTATGACAAGTAAACTAACTCATACTGAGGTTAAGTTTACTGATAGCTAAAACACGGTTCAAATGTGACCTAAGCCTAAAGCCTGCCTAACACTAAGTTAATACCATGGTCAGGTTGCTAACATGAACCAGGTAACAGCAAATCAGAGTACACTAGTAGTTTTTAGTGTCAGCTATCCAATTTTGACCCATTGCAACTTAGGCAATATCCTACGTAAATTTTAAAACAAACAATCCAAAGACAGATTAACTCTGATTCTAATTAAATCTCTAAAATGATTTGAATTCTATTGGTTTTTTGAACTATTTGCACAGCCCTGGTAAACTGTAGTTTTAGAGCTTTAAGCTTAAATTATTTGGTTATATAGCTAGGGATGGGCGAGTAGTGTTTTTTTGAGTCGAGTCGAGTAATTAGCCCTAATACTCGAGAGTCGAGTAGTTCACGAGAAAATCAACAATTTTATTTTACATATATTCCATCTTCATTTTTACGAACAAAGCATTTCTCAATTCACCAGCAAAAATAGACCTGGTTAAAAACTTTTATACCATATAAAAAACACATTATGTAGGCCTATGTGTATCAAACTTATATTTTTGTGTTAAAGGTGTATTATTAATTGCAAAAAAAAAAAATGCAAAAATATGGAACTAAGTGTTTATTTTAAAATAGGCCTACTGTAAATGTTTGAATTTGACTAAAGCATGAGATCTAATAGGTAAAGTTTCCTCTAATTTATAAATAGGCTTATAAGTATTTATCTAAGTCATTTCTCAGTTTTTGTATTTATTTGAAATTCCATGAAATTGTCTTAGTTAACTCATTAGTTTATAATTTTTTTTTTAATTACGTACCTAGCCTACATCTTGGTCTACATATACTCTTTGTAAGGTAAGTTTTTTCCCCCAAGTGAGTATAAACTAATTTCCTATATAATGACATTTTCTCACTAATTATATATCTTCAAAATTTGTTTAACTATGAAAAAGTCACCAAGTCTAGCTGAAAACATAATCATAAATGAGGATATTTTTGAAATACAGAATAACTAATCAAACAAAATTTTTAACACTATTATTTCCCAACTTTTTTTCCTTGAAAATGTCAAAAGTTTTTCACTTATTTTTAATAAAGATTATCACTTATAATTATTGTTTTAAAGAAGTCCAGATGTGTGAACTTGAAGAGCAGACAACAGACATACGTCAACTGCCACAAAAACTCTTCTCTACTGTGAATGAATGAACTGTTTATTGTGTGAAGCCCCACCCCACCCACCGTCTAACGGGACATGGGGGAGGAAAAGAGAAAGTTTGGCAGAATCTGCCCTTGTTCTAAAGCCTGGTTCACATGCCCTCCCTCACCCTCGGCCTCAGTCGCTTGCAGATTTCCATTACACAAGAGTGTTAATTATTTTGAAATACTGTAAATGTTTGAATTTGACTATGATGAGATCTAATAAAGTTTCCTCTAATTTATAAATAGGCTTAACTTTTTAAGTATTAATCTAAGTCATTTGTCAGTTTTTGTATTTCTTTTTAAAAGCAATTGCAGTTATACTTAAAAAATTACAAACATCTTGGCCTACAAATACATTTTGTAAGGAGAGTCTTTTCTCTAGTGAGTAAAAACGATTGTGGTCAATTAATGAACTGTGCTAAAACAGCACATTGTCAATGTTTACAAAAGTATTTTGACTGAAACCCTGGTATTTTTTAAAGACATTGCATAATAGCCTAAGTCGACGTCTGTGGAGAAAAGTATGGCAATAGATAGGTTTTACTTTTAGCCTACAATAAAGATTATGTTTTGGGACTAAAATCTCCAAAAGACCAAAAGAGTGCTTTTAACAAACATTTCATAGTTTTATTTAGTAACAAAAGTGTTTGACTATGTTCCCGATTATACCAAGAACAAGGTTCGGCAGAGTGGATTCACTGTGAACCGGCCTGCCTGGCCCTTATGCACGACGTCACTATAACCTCCGTGTAGGGGTGTCAACAATGGATCGGAACAATCGAAGTTTTGAACCTGTCTGTAACCTAGTTTTTTATACTTATTAAATACTCATTATTTATAAACAAACACGTCCTACATATCGGATCTCGAATCACGATATTTATCGATACCCTTTCCACCCACAATAAAACACTAAACGATGTCAAAGCAATCGTCATTTGCTCCATTGAAACACGAAAGTCGATTGGCTGACATGGTAGTGCACTGACGCCTCCTGACCAATGAGAACTGTTGTTACATACTTTTATTGTCAACATTCACCAATCGTTTTAACATTACAAAATCGACACGGACTAAGGCTTATAATATTTTTCAATAAATACATTATGTTATAGTAGCACTAAAAACTTCACTAAACTCTTTAATCAGGTAGATAGTACAGATCAAATATGGATCTACTTTTTGGTGCAATATAAAGCAAGCCTAACCATACGACGATGTTAAAGTTTAATGGTTGAATTGTTGAATATAATTTTTCTAATGATGCGTATAATGCAGGGATTATTAAACTGAAAATTTCGGCGTGTTTAGGTTATTTATTTTGTACTACAAATAAAAATAATACATCTAAATCTCTGACTTATTGATACAGACATTGTTTAGTATAATTAATTTCGTGTTGGCAGGACATTCGCGCGCCGGTTGTCTCTTGAGTTGAGTCTGACATCTTGAAATGTAGATTCGTAGATTGTGTTGTGCAATGCTGAAGCTAAACAATGTCACCGGCACCGTCGCTGTTTTGAACTAGATAGTTTCTAAGTTGGCTATGAAAATTGTTAACCGTGATGACAAAACTAATACTGTAGCTATACAGTAAATAAATGTTAAAATAAAATATTTATCCCTGTCGGATGTCGGTATCATCGGAATCGACTTTTGACAATCGAGTCTTGGTGCCGATACCAATGTCCAAGTATCGGTGGTATCGATGACGATAATCGAATCATCCCTTTTTACTAGTAGAGCTGTATCGTGACGTAATCGATGCATCGGGATTTTGATGCATGCTGGATCGAATCGGGATTCGATGCATCGCACACCTACACCTACACCTACACCAATGCCTATCACATCACCCAGTGTCAGCTCAGCTGTCGGCGCTGTCGCTGCCAGTGAAATGGATGACGCAAGCGATGTCTAGGTTGCCGATTATTAGTAGGCCTAGTATGTCAATATTTAAAGGGGTTAAGCGATTAAATAAAACTCAAACTTTTTCCTTTCTTACTATTTATTTATCAAATATCAATGAAAATAACGAAATCGGCTTAACGTCTACTACTCGACTCGAGTCACGAGTATCTTTAACTACTCGACTCGACTGTCGAGTATTGCCAACTACTCGAGTAATTACTCGACAGTCGAGTACTCGCCCTCCCCTAAATATAGCATGATTATGGAGATGGGTGGAGATGAATTCTTTGAGAAAATAACTGTCCAGAGGCTTGTAACAAAGAATTGACACATCACTGATTTTTTTTCTAACAAGAGTTTGTCGGGAATAAATTATGGTGATGGAATAATTGATTTCACACCTTTTTATTTATTAATTATTTCTTTGGTTCATTCTTCACAGTCAGTCAAGAGTCTCACCATTAGAGTCTCTGCTCTAGTTTGGTTTGCCAAACTATCTGAACCTTAAAATACAATGTATATATTTTTCACCTTCACATTCTGGGATGCTAGGCGTTAGCCCAAAACCTTTTTCTTTTCTCATTACTTCAGCCTAGGGGTTGCAACAATATTACTTAGATAAAACCCATTGGTGATTGGTGGGATTATGCGACCCCGCCCTTTGCCACTAGACCAGCTTGCTCCCCCATAACAATAAAACCAAGAAATTTAGTCACTTAATGTATTGCATTTGGTGTTTATGTCAATAAATGATAGTTATTCTTATTCTGACTGTACACCAACCTGCATCATCAAGTGCTGCCATTGGTTGCTAAATTGTAAAACCTAGTTCCTGCTACTAAAACTGGCCCTTTCCAAAGCCCCACCCTAGCTAAGAATAATGATGGAACAGGTCCGGAATTGCCTTGGACAGCCTTCGTGGTCTCTCCTCCCAATGACATTTCTTGATCACAACACACCACAAAAGTTTGATACCACATTCCCCGTAGCAGCAAACCTAGGTACTTGCTAATCATAATGTTACTTGAATAGGAAATAAATCAGACATGTAAAAAAAAAACATTTAGGTAAAAGTCGAATTGGGTTGGTGGAAATTCGCTTGGGGTATTTATGAGTAACTGTGACTATCCAAGAGTTTGTCAACGGTTGGAAATGGCCCTATGGGGGGGGGGGGGGCAGGGAGAGATATGTTTTCAATGGAGTCAAATTTAAATTTAGAAATGGATTTTGGGTAAATCAGCCCTATTGTAACTTGTGTAAATTTCTTCTGGATTCATATAAGTGATAACTGTTGTTGGACAGGGACATGGACCCACACGCAAGTCCACTACCACTGCCATGGAGGTGAAGGCTCTAGACGGATTGTACGTGGAGCAAGTAGCTTGTGGGATGCATCACACTCTGTTGTTGGCCAGAGACGAGAGCGAGGCAGAGAAAGATAAAATCAACGATCTGCCCGACTACGAACCGTAACTCTGCTCAATGTGCCGTCGTTCATTTACTTTATTTTCTTATGTGTTGGGATATTTAAGACCTCTGCTGGAACCTCACTGTGATCACTAAATGTAATGCATGGAACGGTTCATGTTTCTCTCTCGATGTCATTCATGTTGATTTTTCCGTTCCCTGTTCGCTTTTCATGGTAATTTAACAGGTTTGTGTATTTATTTACAGGGTTTACTTTTGCTATTTTTGTTTCTATATAATAGTTGAAAACTATGGTGTTGCCTGTTATAAGGCAGTAAAGATGTTTGTATACGATTATTACATGTTTCAAAATTTATGTTTTCCATGTTTACCACCAGTTTCATAAGGGCCTACAGTAGTTTTAAAAGAAGTGATACCAGATTGAGCTCTTGAACTTTGTTGGTTTTTAAAACCACTATCCTTGTTAATGATTTAAAAAAATAATACAATATCCATTTTATACTTCAACATATACCTGTGAATCTGTGATACTTAAGTATAACCAGGTCAGCACTCATTAAATTAACAAATGAAATTTCTAAAACATATTACATTCAATAACCTAGGAAATAAACCTTATCAGATATTGATAGACTATCTCCTCCTCGGCCCAAATAATAAATATCATACTTGTATATTGTTATGAAAAAAAATTAACCTATGGGGGAGAAAGTGGAAATTGTGTTCCTTAAAATAGTACTATTTCAATCAGTATTGAATCTGAACCAAGGAATAATTGTTATGGTAATTATTAACAACCACTAAAGTTATAAGAAATCATCCATTGTTTTGTTTTCGTGATATTTTATCTGTCCTGTTAAGAAAGTCACAAACAAAATAGAAGTATGCATTTATTTTTAAAGTAATAGGTACCTAACCGACTCTTAAATAATATTCTTATCTATTGTTGACTTATCCAACCAGGGCTCTTTTTACGTATTGAACAAATCAGTTCCAAAGTATTATTTGAGCGAGTAACAAATATGTTTTTACAGTGTAATAAACAATTAAGACTAGCTTATGCAATAAGACTGATATTTTACACAGGTTTCTATTAGTTTGCTTGAACAACTTTTTTAGTAACACATACAATAATTAGTTTATTATGGATAGATAGATGATGCAGTAAACTTTGTATGATGTACGTTAAAAAAAAAATTTACAATAAAGGAACACAAGTGGTGTTTTCCCCTCCTTGGTTGTGAAACGTTTTCTTTTATCTTCATTTATTGAAACTTGTAAATTTAAGTATAGGCCTATTACATCTAATTTTCACTTAAAACTATTTTGCTCTACAATTTTGAAATGCTAAATTTTTTAATACAAAGTTTACTGTAATATCTAAATTTTCAAACATCAACCAGTGTACAGCTCGTGACATCTAAGCTGGCACTTGGCCGATCACTACTAGTACCTATTTTAAAAACATTATGTCCCGTAATGCGGGTTGCATCAACTGTCCTCGCGACCCATAGAAGGTGCTCAAGTACATAACACAAGTGGAGTCAACCCCGTGAAGCAGCGGAAATGTTTGCAGTCCGGTCTTTTCCCTACCTCCACCCTCCTCCCGCCTACACTGCCCGCGCTAGGCCAAGTGCCAGCTTAGGTGCCACAAGCTGTATAGGTTGTTCGTGTTTTTTAAATAACTCCTTTTAAGAAAAATATCAAAATTTGTAGTGGCCACAAGTTTTCCATTTCCTTAATCTAGCAGAGACGTCAATTAGGTTTTAGGTATGACTTTCACTATTCTCTTTTCTATGTTTTCATTTTGAAAACAATTTGTATAATTGTTATACAATTGTATCGCTTGAAGTGTATTTTGAAAACATGAGTATCAGCCGTAACACTTGAGAAATGCCTTGAAACTGAATCTGTTAATATTGTTGTTGAATAGACTTAAATGTGTGATTGCCATTGCACTGTGATTCGGGTTGTGCTAGGGTCTAAGTATTTATTTGATAAAATTACGACCGTTTAAACTGCATCGCACTGTATTTAAGCATAAGGTAGACCTAAGTCTTTAAACTCAGAGACTGATATACATATGTTTTTATTTTTTGAAACATTGTTGACTTAACATTGAAAGAAACTTCATTATTTTTACTAGCATTTATCAGTTTCACTAAAAATATATTTGTTAAATAAAACTGTTTCAGTGGAAAGAGATAATAGTGAGATAGTGCAGGTGTCGTAGAGTTTTAGAATAAGGTTGGTTAGCATGTCTTGTACTATGCAAGATACAAGAGGGCATTACAAGGTAAAGAAATGTACACAATGCCAACAAACTGGTGTAATTTATATAATGCGTATCCAAATAAAAGCATCTGATGATCACATTTGTTGTAGGTTTCTAACATTTTCTTTCACCAAAAGCAATAAAACATACTATAAATTACTTAGATAACATTTGTTTCTCATAATTTGATCTAAAACCTGGAACTCTTCAAGACAAGTTATAAAACCTACCATGTTTTCAAAAGTACAAAGCTCTGTTTATTATAAGTCGTGTATTATTTTTATATAAGTCTATATGTAGTACTTAAAAGCGTAGGGTTAGTTTTACTAATTCAAATACATGTAATGTTCTAAAAATAAATTAAGATTGATTTTTTAAATTGTTCAATTTAGTTGACTCATCCTGTCCCTCATCAATTTCGAATCCATGTAGGGTATTATGTTTAAAGCATCCGTTGTTTGAAGGTTTCACAAGATTGTTAATTTTTTTTTAAATGGGTAGTAGCCTAGGTTTTCTACTCCAAAGAGGATTTTTGGAATGGGATAAGAGTTTAGCCTGCTTTTCTGAGAAGATGTTTAGAGAGGGACTTCTTAAAAGTAAAAAATTAAAAATTCAATGAATTTGGTTTTGAAATTTATTACTTCTATTAGCATTATGTGACCTTTTACTGTGAATTTCTATAAGTCCTTGGACAAACTCATGGTAAACTCATAACAGTCATATCTATAATTTTGTTTATGCATCCCATCGCTTGAATTTCTTTTAATAGTTTTAATACAATCCATTTCTTCATCATTGTTCAACACACAGGATAGTAAACAGCTGGTTTCTGTACCCTTTGTTGATGAGAAAGTCCGTTAACAGAAAGGGACCTCTAATGTCCCTTGAGTACGGTAAATTTACCATTCACTCTCACAGGTACTCATATAAAATCCCATCATTCCCATGCTCAGCAAATCAGTAGGGTATGGGAACTATCATGCTTGTAATGTAAACACTTTCCGGCCTTGTAGCAGAATATAATACTATCACCTCTATTCTTAAGGATTAAGTTACCCTAAGTCTTAAGGGTTAGTTGTTAAGGTTTAGGATTAAGGGTTAAGTCATAGCTTGATAAAATTTGTCTTAAACCAGCCAATCGCTAAGGAACACAGAACACTTTACACTACAGATCAATAGTTGACATTTTGCTTGACTAGATTAAGTTTTAAAGACTGTGATATAATTTGCTTTGTATACAATGAAGGTATTGGTAAAGATAAGATGACCAATGCCAACAAGGAATTTTAAATGTTTTAACTGTTAATGTCTTAGTAAATTTGTTGAAAGCAAAAATTTTGATTCAAATGAAAAAAAATCTGAAGTATAACCCAAAATGATAAAATTATTTAAGAAACAGTCCAACTAATTGTTATAAATATTTTACATCTTATAGTTTAAATTGCTTTTATTGTTTGTTTCTCGTTTTGTTTGTCTGGAACTGATATTCTAGTTCAAAAAGTCTTGGTTATAGTCTTACCAATACTCCTTCCTATAGCTCTGATCTTCCAGTTAACAGTTAAAGAGAACATGAAAGAAAGGATTCGGTCACCCTCGGTTGAATACTATGGCAAATACGATAAATCTGAATTTTGTTCTGTTAAATTACCGTAATCTATTTTTTTATAAGTGCTACAGTAAAAAGATGCTAAACATTACACAAGAATTGTTCAAATGATTGCTGTTTTTTAAATCACGTTTGTACTCTGTTAAGATATTGAGTTCAGATAAACTAAAGTTTGTTCTTAAAGTATTTGTGTTTATTGATTAAAAATTATAAAATATAATACAAAGCCAATTTTAAAACAATTCTTTTACTTCAGGAGAAAACGTTAACAATATTTCAAACTTGAAGAAAACTATTCGTCAGCGAGGAATAGGGGGTGGTAGGCTTGCGTTATGCAGCGCCACAGGGGCCAGGGGTTGAAAATAACGAAAAAATCGTTACGGTTCGTATTTCGTAATATTTGGACGGCCCCATACACGGCCACCTTTCCCCATATCTATTGTAATTTCAACCAATCATACTTAATATTATAAATGTGAAAGTTTGTGTGTTGGTTTGTTCATTTGTTTGTTTGAAGTTCAATCACGCATTAACTACTGGTCGGATTGTGTTAAAATTTGGTATGATGATAGCTCACCTTCCCGATTAACATATAGAAATCAGAATCAGAAATCAGAAACATTTTATTGTCCTTCAACATTTACAACAAATGCATTAGACAAAAGTCAATAGACATATAGACATATTCTTACCTCAAAAATCCCTTCGGGCTCCGCCCCAGCGGCTCTAGAGTTTCCCATGTTAGTCGAGGCGCTGAGGGGGTTTGAGCATGCATAAAAGTATAACGAAATTTGACTTTTGATTGTTGCTATGGGTACCTAGTAGATAAAGAAAATCGATGTTGTCGCATTTCTAGGTGGTTAATAACATGGGGGGGAGGGGGTGAAGTTGGGGGGCCGCCGCGCACAAAATAGCTTATATCTCGAGAACCAAAAGTCATATGAATACGTTAGACATGTCAAACTGTGCAGAAAAATGCATTCTACAAATAGATTATGTAGTAGTTTCACGGAAATTGACAAGAAGTTACTAAAAATTATATTTTTTAAATTTACGATAAGTATAATCAGGAGTATAATGGTTTTTGTTTTTGTTTAGAACCATTAATTTTTTAATTGACATCTTTTGAGAGTAGTACACTATAGGTAAATAGTACTTCTGTATAATGAAACTATTGCGGTACATAACCTAACAGCTATACAATCCTCAGATCCAATAAACATAACACAAACAAAGGCGCAAAACGCGTCGCGGTCATTGTTCCTGCTGCCGTAACTATTAATGGCGAGTACAGTTCAAGCTGAGACTTATATTATACTTTTAGAAAGATGGAGATTCTGAGGATTCATTTTCATATTTATAAAATAGTATTGAGGGACTATTATGTAGCGAGAAATATAGTTTGAAAAAGAAGAGAGTTCAAACAAATTTTGGTAGTTGAACGTTTCCATCACCTGACCAGGCTACACAATTGGTGCAACAGCTGTTTCGGCGATCGCGTAAAGGTAGTGTAAACGATACGAGTAGAAAATGTTAAATACAAGCCTTGGCGAGTGCCTTAAAAACTTCTACGAGTGTCGTTAACACTATTTACGTGAGTTGTGTGCATTAATTAACCTGCGACAG